TGTAATCTAATCCATCTGCAGTGGCACAGTAAAAGACTTATACTGTGTAACAGGTTGGCCATCTACTACCTTAACACAGTGTCAAAGGGATACCAACAGGCAAACCTGGACCTTAAAAAGAAGATGAAAATGGTCAGTATGAATTTCTCTTAATATCCCTTATTTAAGCAAAAGTTCAAGATTAGATTCAAATCAAATGACTGTCGGGTTTGTTGGTCATCACTTCAGGCCCGAGACGAGGAGAAGAACCGCAGGAACAACAAAGACAGCACTAATCAAGTAATGAAAGACTTGGAGGACCTTCTGCCAAATAAATCTCTAATACCGCCTCCCACTGAGGAAGAGCCGCCTCATGGTACACTCACATACATCTTCAGCTGCATATACTGTAGGATAATTAACACCCCACTGACCTGACCACGTTTCCCAACTCTCAATCTGTCTTTTTAGATATTGTAATTGAGAAGGGAAGCAAGTCTACCAAAATGAAGCCAGGATCAGCGGGGAAAGGGGTCAACCTACAAAAGGAGGTGTCACTGGCTGCCCCAAACCCCCGAGGGCCAGTAGCCCATCCTCCTCGGGCACGGGGAGGGCCTCCTGGACATCTCAGGGGCCCTATACCTGGGCCTGGCAGAGGGAGAGGTCGGGGCGCTCCTCCGAGGACATAAGAAGCATGATTCACAGTTACAGATATCTGCTAGGATGGCTCCAGCTGCATATGGAGGAGGAATCAATTTTGGATTTACTGCAATGATGCAAATGAACACAAATTTCATAACATCATTTTTTTATTGTAATTTTATTATATGAATGAAAAGCATTCAATTAGTATTTTCAACATGCTAGATGAGACATCAGTCATACCTAACACTGGAAAAAGTCTGTAGTTACTGCAGCAACTCAGTTAAAAAATACAGAAATGGTGTGTTATCTGTGTCAGTAGTATTACAACTGCAAAAATGTCAACAAACTCTATGTCTCAGCAACTTCTATCAAGGACTCGGCTTTTTTTCCTGTTTACTACAGTGGAATCAGTCTACAGTTTACTGCTTATCTATACAGACGACTGATTTCATGTGGAAATTCCTGTACATAGTTTTTAAAGTGACTTTTTTGCATGACATCTATTAAAATGTTCTATTTATGAAAAATTGCCATTTATGGTGTAACTAAACTATCAAGCACACGAGAGGCAACACTTCAAAGAACAATCTGTTTAAAAACCTGTACACTGGAGGACCACCATAGACAAAAGCCATGTAACACTGGGGGTATATGACAAAAATAAAGAAAGTCTGAGCAGAAAATGGAATAAATATTCACAAAGTGGCTACAAAACATGCAGGTGCAGCATGATCTAATGATCTGACTCTGGCTGATGGTTCAAACAGGAGAAATGTAGACTGGCAGTATCATGAGCTCTTCTGTGATATTCTGATTGTGACTGCCTTGATTTCAGTGTACTCCTGCAGTGCATATTCCCCCCTGAAATAAGAAAAACAAGCACTACTGATTAAAAAGAGAACGAGTTTACTAGTCAAGTTGCAGTGCATTGTTACAAAGTCTCAAAGCAACGATTACGTAGTTGTTTGATGGACATTAATGCAGCAAATGTAAAGGTTAATTTCCTTAGATTTCAAAATGGCAACACTCACAGTTCTCTCCCATTCCCAGACATCTTGAAGCCACCGAATGGACACTGAATACTCATGGCATTGTAGCAGTTCACCCTAGAATTAAAGCAGCATTAGTTTCACCTTATTCCTTAAAAACAGGCATACAATAGTAGTAGCTGCACTATTCCAAAGTCTAATGGGACTTTAAGAGAGGCTTCAGTTATCATGCTCTGTGCAAAGGATGTGATCCATACCAGATCATGCCGGCTTGCAGAGCAGAGGAGACTGTAAGGGCTTTGTTGATGTCATTAGTGAAGACTCCTGCTGCCAACCCGTATTGTGTGGCATTGGCTCTCTGGATGACTTCACTGATGCTGTGGAAACACATAATCTGCTGCACCGGGCCAAATATCTGCAAGA